AATATTTATCCCCTTCATTGATTTGTAACAGCTTTATATTATTCTCAGACATAGATTTATTCTTATCTGAATAGATTAAAGAAAATCTATCATGCCAATGTATCATTTTATAATCCCGTTAATTATGATGATATAATAAACTATTAACTTTTATTTATACACAAAGTTTGTCCATTACATTAATTCACATAGCACATAACCCATACACACACACATACACACACATTAGTGTCACTTCCTACTAACGATCCAAATTATACGCATGATCTGTTGAATCAATTTATCTTAACAGATTTCAAGTCAAATAAGTTGACATATCTTAGGCGACTTCAAATACTAACTTTATCAAGAAATTATTTGATTAAGGTAATTACATTAAGCAAACAGTTTTCGAAATACAAAATTATAAACATTTAAACAAACTAACTAAAAGTAAATAGGGTCAATTGGATTCAACAAATTAGATTTAATAAGAAAGAAACAGTTTACGATCATTCGAATTATATGAACTGATCAAACAAAAAATATACACATTGATCATTTCATTTCATTCTTTTCTATTGAATGCTGTTGTTAGTATATGTTTAAATTGTTATTGTACCCGTTGAAAGTACACCATTTAGACATCAAAATAACGGACACTGTATTCGTTAATGAATTATTTATCACACTTTCTTTTATCTGTGTCTTTTATCAGTACATAGTATTTGTGAACACTATAGAATTTTTATAGTTTTAAGCGAAGATTGATCTTGGCTCAATGGTTTGAAGGTTAAACGTTGAAGCCCGAGACCTAAAGTCCTACTTTTTATTGCCTATTATAAATACTCACTCATGAAGATGTTATACAACCCTCACTAATTGTTTGAAGTCAGCAATCGTCCGATATCAGACTTGATAGAACACCACTAATAAAACTTCACTTCAGAAGCCCAGTAGGTGCACCTTGAAGTAATTATTCAGTTAGAACATGACTAATATCTGTGAAGACTGCAGAGCTTCCATAATCTTGAATCGGACGCCCAGGTAAGGTTGTGAGTGCATTCACTGGAATGTCCCATAGTAAAACAAACCGGGCATCCACTGCAACTAGAATTTTAACTATGGTCTTGGTAAGATCACCTCGTGCTTTAAAATAGGACAATTTAACTGTCTCCACAAATGCCCCTATACTAAATTTATGTGAATCAAATCGGTTACTTCATATTTACGGTGTTCGTCATGAAAGCACAAGCTCTTCTATTTCGTCCCGTATGGGTTTCGATATTATTAGAATGTTCAGCACTAAGACAGACCAGTTATCCAGCAATGTCGAATCATCAGTGATAATTCAGTTGTCGGCATTTCACCGAGATTATTTCCAAATTATGTTTCGTAACAGTTTAAGTTCCATAACTAGGTAGAATAAGAATATCTGACTTATACGAAATTTGTTTTTTATCGACTTTTTCACTCTTTATATAATACAAGCAATTTATTGATTTTTGTGGTCCGTATCTGTCACAGACTGGTTTCAGCTGAAGTAGCATTCAAAGCCAGGACGCATAGTGTCGTTCTAGTGTCGAACTCTTCACCAGTGATCACTCACGACGGTGCTAACATCAGGACATTTAAGTAGACGTCCACTGGTCCTTTTCCAACATCAGTCAAATTCAGATATAGTTCAGTGATAATCCAACAACATCAATAAAAAGTGTTTCACTCCCGACAGGTATATTTTTATGTATTTATTTCGACACTATTGTTTATTTCCTACTAAATACCTATAATCTATCTATCTATCTATAACATATGTATAATACTCAAAACTTATTACTTAATAATTGAAGATAAGCAGTGTGTTCATGATCGATTTACTGGTTCGAAGTTAGATGGGGGCTAGCAGTGAAATCCAGGATGTTCACTCCGGGACTCGAGTCATTCACTTCCATCGCTGCCATCACGTTATCCACTTAACTACTGAGTCCTTATATCCATTTTCTTGTGTAAAGAAGAGGAGTTTAAATTCACTTGGTATTGTTTACTTGGGAAGATTCAAGCAAACATTCACCATCCATCTTTGCTTACAATGTTTTTGACTTAAGGCGATATCGAGGCAATCTAAACAGGATGCACATATGCCAATAAGAGACTGATCAATTGCAGTCCTAAACATCAATGGGAAAATTCAAGAAAACAATACCAAGTGCACTTATCGATTTGGTTACTTAAACTGTATCAATATAAAAGGTGCAGTGATAAGTAGAAATTTCATGCGAGCCATGAAACTGAAATGAACCGTGTAAATAATTATTTATTTGGTTCTAATTTCAGTTTGAAAAAGACAGAATTTTAGATGGCCTGTTTTAATCCTGACAACGATGGTTTCTCAGCTGATCCAACTCTCTCTTCAAAGAGTCAATAGATGGAGCTTCATCCACGTGTAGAGTTAATGAATCTCACTCGTTGATGATTCGATAGGAAATTCGATAGTCAGCTGACAAGTAATTTATTCTGGGCTTGTGAACATTTTATATCGAATCAATGATGAATCAGATTCATTTTTTCAATAGTTGAGATCACGAATCAATCGATAATTGACCACCATAGAATACCTGGAAGCACTGGACGGCTGATTCCTTCCATTGTGGGACTCCTCAACAGTGCACATGCCCGATCTCGCCTTGCGAGTTTTGAACCTAAGACTTATCGATCTCGCACGTGAACGCTTCACCTCTAGATCACTGAGCCCGCCGGCATCCAAAGGTGTTAATGTTTAACTTCAACCAATCTATGAAATTGAGCGACACATCCACCACTGTTTTCACTGAGCTCCTATTTCACAATAGAGCCGAGTGAACTCCACTAGTCAATGCTTCTCATTAGAACTCCAGGAAATGCCTCTTGAGGTCAGTCAATAATGAGCACATGTTGATCAGTATCAGAAGATTTTTGTGGATATTATATTGATTTTAATAGTTGAGATCATGAGTCAAATGAAGCTTTGAATACACATATATGTGTGATCAGGTTGTTCGACTTTGTATTGTGCTTATATATCATTACATAGTTCTGATAGTCTTCGTCTTCTTGTGACATTATCGAAATTTATCAAAGGAACTAACTTCTTTAAATCTGTATATAATTAAATGATTTAGTGATATAAACATCATTCATAATAACCTCTATCTCTATGTTATTCATTCTCTTATGAAACTTGAAGTCAATTAACTTGAATACTCTATTAAGAACATTCAAATTGAATTGATACTTTTAAATGATAATAAGCATTTATTGGAAAGAATATCTTCTTGTTCATACATTGGTGTATAGTGATAGGAATCGTTGAACAATTAAAATGTTATAATTGATAAATTCAGATGTAATGGGTACTAATCACTAATCATCTAGCTGTATTATTCATATTAACATATGTAAATGAATATATATAACCCAATTTCGTGGATAAGTTGAAGTTAGGTGTTAATACCGTTGTATTCCGGTCATCTCAGTGGTCTAGAACTTAAGCGCTTGTGCGCGAGACCAGTACATCCTCGGGTTTGAACCCCGCGGGGCGAGATCGTGAATGAGCACTTCCGTTGAATGCTTCTAGATTTTCCTGGTGGTCTAACTTCAATTGACTCATTAACTCAACTATTATATTATATAATTCTTTGTCCATTATAATAATAATAATATTTACCTTTTGGATAATTATACATAATTGATGCATTATGATCAAAATCTATTCAACATGTTTTTTCAGTTGTTTATTTAAAATTAGTAGTGATATTAGTAGTATCGATAGTGACAACTAAAAAATTATAAAAAATAATAGTTTTTTTTCACATTTCAAAAAAAGATTCGTATGTATCAACAAAAATGGAAATGTCTTGATTTTAGTGAAAGTCACAAAGGTAGAAACTAACGTATACAAATGAAGAGGTAAACAAATAAGACGAAATTCGATTTCACGTAAATGTCAGATAAATCAAATGGTTTTTTGGTTTTTTTCTTTATTTTTTATTTTTTTTGGTGTGTGTGTGGGGTTGGGAAACATTCAACAAAAAATTTAATCCTTATTCTAGAAACTGGTCAAACAAACTGTTTTTCAAATTATCAGTTTTAGGGTTGTGGAGATTGTTAAGTTTTTTTGATTGAGATCATGAACCAATTGATGTTAGACTGCCGTTGTAAATGTGGATGCACTGGATGGCCGTTTCGTCCTGTTGTGGAGCTCCTCAGCAGTGCGCGTCCATGATCCCGCTGGAGGAATTCGAACCCAGGGCCTTTGATCTCACGAGTGAACGCTTAACGTATTGGACCACTGAGCCGTGGATGCGCACTGCTTAGAAGTCCCACAATAGAACGAAACGGCGGTACAGTGCTTCGGGGTTTTCAATAGTGATCTAACATCAATCGGTTCATGATATCTTTTTTAAATGTATAAAAATAAATCAATTTTTTTCTTCTTTAATTATAATTAGAAATGATATTTTCATTATGGTAATGCACTACTACTTTATCACCAAGAATTGAACTTGTAGAACTTTTAGTTACTTAACAAGTGTTTCACCCTTTGAATTATTAAGTTTACATGGTTTACATGTATAAACTCAGTTTTACTTCATAAATTATAGAAAAATATTATTTTGAAGATGGAGATATGTGGAGATTGTAATCATTTTAATAAGTGAATTTATTAGTTTAATTAAGCTAGACCACTATTGAAAATCAGGAACAACTGAATGGCCGTTTCGTTCTAGTATGTGACTCAGCAATGCGTGTTACAATCCCGCAGGTAGGACTTCGAACCTGGGACCTTCAGTCTCTCACGAGAACATTGAATCTCTATACCAATAAGACGACACTTAAAAGGATTAATGACTAAATTCAATTGATCCACGATCTTGCACAACACAGATTATACTCCACTGATCCGGAATTCAACGGTTAAAAAACCATTTTTTTTAAAAAATTACAAGCATATAAATGGAATCCATTATTATGATACTACTTACTTTTTGATCTTGACGTCGTACAGCATCATATACTTTCCATACTAATTCTGGTCCACAACTTGCTGTTTGTTTCTCAATAATAAAATATTTAGTAATTGGATTTGTTGGAAAATCTATAGAAATTTGTTTATTACATCCAATATTACTGATGTTATTACTATGACTAGTAGTATAATTAGTGTTACTAATGTGATGATGATTATTATTATTATTATTTACATGTGATGCATTCATTAAGAATCAATATGTAGATTGTAAATATTTTATCAAAAATATTCGGACGATTTCCATTCAAGTATATATGTGAATATGACTATTCAGTATAGTATCAAAACATGTATACTATTTATATACAATGATTTCTTACAGTTAAATTTATACTATTATATTATTCATTAATGTTATACTACTCACAACGTCTAGTTCTATATGAAATAGTAATATATACATATATACAAGTATTTCTCATCAATAGATTAACCAATCAAATTTCAAATAGAATAGACCAATCATATTTTGAGTAATAATTTGTAACTAAGACATGTAACAAATATTTCGGGGGTTTTTTTTAAAAAGTTTTTTTAATTTTAGGTAACAGGTAAAAAATACAATGAAACTTTTCTTTTCAACAAAAAAAAATAGTTTGTTATACAAAGAATTCAACCTTCAAAAGTTTCCTTTGTGAAACACCTTTTTCGTCTAAAAAAAAAAGAAAAAAAACGAAGAAAAACTTGGCAGTGAAATATTAGATCAAATGCTTAACTTTATTAGACGAATAATTTAGAGAATTTTGTAACATGAGTATAAAAATAGATTGAAATAATGATTAAGAATGAAATAGACAATGAAATGAATAAGAACGGTGAAGAGAAAAACACTTTCAAAAAAAGTGTCATATTTGGTCATCGCTGATTGCTGTGCCGGAAAAACAAAAAACGCTGATCACTTATACTCGAAACGAGGGACCTTGGCGATTCCCACGATGCGAAAGTAAGAACACAAGACTGGTATAAGTGAGGCTTGATTAGCCCCAAACACTATGACAACGACGAATCAAATATAGTCTAAAATACACTGGTTTATATATTGATTTTACACCCATTTTGATTAATAATTAGGATTAAATCACATACTCAGTTATAACAAACTACTTACTGAGCGTAGTTCATGTCAAGTGAATGCAAGAATATCGTATATTATACATAAGAAAATATTATACTGAGAAAACAATCAAATACTACACTGAATGATCATCATCACATTAAATTAGAAGGGAAGTAATGTTGAACAAAACTCAATGAGTAAATCAACCATATCAAAAAGAAATGTAAATTCTCTCAAATGAAGTTGTAAAAGTGAATAGTTAGTGAAAATAAATTTGAATTTATGAGTTCGTTGAAGCTGGATCATCATGAAAAAGTTGGAAGTATTAGACGGTTATGATAGAGGGTTGTTTACTGAGCTGGATGGTTTAGTCGAGGAACTTTCACCGTTCTTCTGAACGACAACATCAGCACAAACTTCAGATAGAAGTGAAGTGTTTGAATTTCTCCATATGTGTTTTATAGCTTGTTCTGTACACCTCGATGTTGATTGGTTCTTATTGACCTTAAATTTGTCATTGTTCACTTCTTTTTTTTGGTTGTGTCTCCCATTGGTTTGATTTTTGTTCCTATATTTGTGCATGATTTTCCTGAATGGTTCATAAATTGGATCGATTTCAATGTACTTGTCGATTGCTGATTGACCTAAGTGCCAGGCTTCTAAAAATTCTCTGGTGTTTTTGAAAATTTCTCTGTCCAAGATTTCCACATTTTGCCAATCGAATGAGTGTCCGAAGCTGTCCACGTGTATTGATATAAGTGAGGAAGTATCATGGTTTTTGACTGCTAATTGATGTTCATGTAGGCGAAGGTGAAGGGGGCATCCGCTTCTGTCCAATATAGTGTTTTTCGCAGGTGGCACAATTTATTTTGTAGACGATGTTTGATTTGTTTTCCTTTGTTATTTCATCCTTTGCTTTGCATAGGATTGATTGTGGTGATTTTATCGGTTTGTGTGCCACACCTTTCCCGAAGGTTTTCAGTAGTTTCCTTGCGGTTTCTGATATTCCTTTTATGTATGGTAGGGCGATCCTTTTGTTGATTTCTGTGCTTGACTTAGGTTCCGATGCTGCGTGTGGTTGGTATTTTTTGATATCAACCAAAACAAAGAAAGAAATAATGACAAATTTAAGGTCAATAAGAGCCAATCAAGATCGAGGTGTACAGAACAAGCTATAAAGCGCATATGGAGAAATTCAAACACTTCACTTCTATCTGAAGTTTATGCTGATGCTGTCGTTCAAAAGAACGTCGAAAGCTCCACAACCAAACTATCCATCACAGAGAACAAAGTTCTATCAAAATCATCCACCTGAGCTACAAATCTTCTACATAATTAGACGGCTATTTCGTCCTTGTATAGGATTCTTCAACTGTGTGCATAGAATAAGTGATTGAATAGGAAATATTTAAGAAGACTCAAAGATATTTTCCTCTATAGATGAATGATGTTTTTGTTAAAGGATGATGTTTAGTAATGAGACCCAAAACAAATGTTTCGCTTTATGTGATACTGATTGGTTAGATGTTATAAATTTTATGAATCAACATGAGAAATTAGATACAATTCTACCTTTATAGTCAAATCATAGAGATTACGTTCCATAAAAATTTTATTCATAAATTCAACAATACAATGCATTACCTCTGTCATACGGAAAAACAATAAAAGACGTAAAATCATGGATCGCTTAAAGTCGGAAATTAACAATTTTGGATGCGGGCACAGTAGTTTAAAGGTTAAGCGTTCGCTCGAGGGACCGATAACTCCTGGGTTTGAATGTTGTGTTTGGGATAGTAGATGGAGACTTCTGAGGATTTCCATACTAGGACGAAATGACCATCTAATTCATCCGGGTTTTCAATGGTAGTCCGACATTGATCGACTCATGATATCAATCTAAATAAAAGATGACTAATGATAGTTTTTACAAAAGATTGGCTATCCATAAAAACTTTATTAAAACATCAACGACAAACAGAAAATCAAATGCAATGATCGAAAAAAAAACAATATGATTATGTGCAAATCACAAACTAAAAAAATAAGATGACGAAAAGATGCGTTTCAAACATCATCCACAAAATAAATGGATCCTCTCACACAAATCTCATTTGATATGTGTGAGGGATGTGATACTGCCCGGGTACCCAAACCGAAGTAGGTGGTTTTCTTAGGGGGCCATACTTGGAGCCTTTGATCTGAAGGTCTGATCCACAATGCAGTGGTGCAACGTAAGGAGATGCAGTCCTATTTCAGCCGGTGATAGATAATTGGTGCATAAACCTTTTGTTCCTTTAGGATACTGGATCCCATGTACACCATTGGTTTGGAATCAGAGTTTTCCAACTCTCTAGGTGGACTCTACATGTTCACTACCCCAGTTGCGGCGCCGGACCTTCGCTTTTCGTTCACTCACTTTCGTAAACAACACACGTGGTGCGAGAAGGCAGTGAGTAGGACTTCCCTGGCAGAAGCTATATACGCGTGGCCAAATGAGAGCATTTCGAGAGGGAGAGCGGACTCTTCTCACTCTCGGCCGTACCAGTGCATTTGAGGGTAAACAATGGTTTATGTTGTCTGTTATTTATTTTCAAAGATTTTGGAACGTTGATGATATGATGTCGATTAGATGTACTCTTTTGAGATTGGGACATCATTTATTTTCAATTTCTTTGAAATGTACAAGAAAATACAAACGTGTATGTGCGTTAACACGTACATATAAATTAACACATATAATTCAAGATACTGAGCATAGAGGAGTTTTAGATCTTTGATTGTTTAATGAAACACTTTGTTTCACACAAAGTGATAAACCCCACCTCTGAATAAGTACTTTCAATACAGTAATAAATCTGTTGTCAATAATACTAACAGTTTCATTCCCTTTAAAGTATAAGTGTGGGAAAAGTGGTTTCAATTGTGCTGTATTAAAATGCAACCATTCGTTTCAGCATACATGTCAAAGAATGTCTGTGGTTGTGTTTTATATGGCCATATGTTCTCCAAGTGCTTTCTTAGGTTAAACGTTTACATTAGGATTAAAAAGCTCTTACAATCATTATCTTACAGACTTTTGAGTCTAAACCTTTATGGTCTAAATAAGTTTAATTCCGTATATTTTTGTAAGGTTTTTTAATTCAATGAATTCCAGACGGAAGGCTATATAGGTATAATCATCTCAAAAATTACAAGACATTTCGTACTAATGACCACCTGATTAGTGTAGATATCATAGATTAACATGAGATTGATCACGATATAAATAACTGAGTAGTTACGTATGTAACTGCAGAACTAGTTACTATGGACTCAATTCTTCCGAATAAAAAACGTTGTCGCCAAACATCAGATATGCCATGCTGATAATACTAGGACGAAAAGGCCGTCCAGTGCTTCCAGGTTTTCCATGGTGGTCTAGCTTTAATTGACTCATGATTTCAACCTATGAAAACAAATATCAGATCTAACATTTATTATTGTAGATGTCATAATGTTATACCCTATATAATGATAAGTAGAGATAGTAACTTTTTAGTCGGTAGAAGAATTTGTGTTACAAAAGTAAAACTATCTACATTAAATAAAGATATTCACTGGAATGAATGGTATTATGAGATTTTAGAAGCTTCGATAAACACTATATTGACTACTGACAAATAAGAAGATTATTCAATTAAGAAAGAATAACCATTTGATTTCTGGAAACTTAACAAAAGTTTACAAGGAAACGTATTGCTCAAAGTATTTTTGAATTGCTTTTAGACGTCTTGCAGACGTTTTCAATCTATATCATATTATACGTTTTAATAATTTTTATACCCTGATATCCAGTAAACCAGTAGAGAACATTCTGAAATGTTTGAGAAGATCTGTAGCTTAGTTGGGCGATTCTGGTGGAATATCTTCTTTCTGTGACGATCGGCTTATTCATTGAGCTTTCATTGTTCTTCTGCATAACATGCTTAGCAGTAATAATGAAGAATTCGAACTTCTCCTTCTATGACTGACAGACTGTATTGTTTACCTTAGTTCTGATCGGCTACTACTGACATTAACTCTGTCATTACTTGGATATTGATATGAATTGTCTTCTTCTTACAAATGATTTTTGATGTTATTTATGTTTATACCTATATTTTATTGTTCGATCAAAATCGACCCCGAATCAAGAATCAGGTCAGATGGTAAAGCAATCAGAACAAATAAACTAGACAATATATCGAAAAATTTAAATACCTCACATCTATCTGAAGTTTTTACTATTGATTTTGTCCAAAAAAGAACAATGACCACTTGAACGCTACTGA